ATTTTAAGATTTCGATAGCGATCAAAGTTAAGGACAAGATATAAATAACAGTATATAATAAGGAGCAATTGGAAGATAGATTAAAATAATAAATCAGAGATACATCACGACGATATTATGCATAGAAAAGCGCAAGTCGGTATAATGAGCAGGAACTTTGGGAAAAATTAATAAATACTAGGTACGAATCTGCATTTGAGTTAACCAATGAGTAGCGTTTTAAGAATTTATATCTTTAAATCTTTAAGAATTTATATTTCTGAACTGAGACTATCCAGAAACTCGCGCTTTTCATAATATCATTGTGTTATAGTTTTAACTTATTATTTTACTTGGCCTCTCAATTGCTTCTCAACATGTGTTGTCGCCTACACCTTGTCATCAATTTCATTGCAGTAGAAATGTCTCAATCTGTTGCATCTTACATATAAGACACGAGACTTCTTAAAAAGCGATTGAGAGGCAAACTTAAATAATAAATTGGAATTATATCGCAATGACATTATGCTTAAAAAATACGAGTCGCTGTGTAATCTCAGCTTTGAGATAAAAATTCATATACATATTGATTGCGATGAAATTAACGACAAAGTACAAAAGACATCATACCGTGGGCAACGACCAAGGGACAAACTATGACAAAATATAATAAATTAGAACTCCATCACTATAATATTATACATGGAAAAGTGTGAGTCTATACAGTGAACGAGAATTTAGGAAAAAAATGTTTAAAATTAAGAAATTTCTGCTGCAATGAAATTTATGACAATAGGAACAACAAATGTTGAGAAGCTATTGAGAGGCGAAATAAAATATTAAATTAGAACTAAATCACAATAATATTATGCCTAGAAAATACCAAATCGTTGGACAGTCTCGGTCAAAGTTGCCGTCAACTTTAGCCGAACGACGATTTCAACTTTGAGATTCGGATTTTACACGTCAAAATACGTAAGGTAATTGAATTTTAGTGAAATCAGAGGTGTGAATCTTAGCTTGTTGGCTACACGTTTATATAGCTTTTCAACATACGTTGTCACCTATACCTTGTCATAAATTTCATTGCAGTAGAAATTTCTCAATTTCTACAATTTTTTCCCAAGTTCTCGTTAACTATATAGACTCACGCTTTTCTACACATAATATTGTTATGATAATAACTAATCTAATTTATTATTGTAGTTTGCCCTTTAGTCCTTTCTCAATGTGTGATGTCTTTTATATCTTGTTCTAAATTTTATAGCCAAAATCTTTATGAACTTTTAGCTGAGAACTGAGATTATCCAGCGACCCGCGCTTTTCTACGCATAATATCATTGTAATATAATTCCAATTTATTATTTTATTTCACTTGTGAACCACTTCTTAAGATGTCTTTTCTGTTATAACTTGTCGCTGATTTTCATAGTTGTCAAGATATCTTAATTTCTAATAATTTTTTTCCTAAACTCCTGTTAACTGTATAAGCTCGCGCTTTTCTATGTATATTACTGTTGTAGTGAAGCTTTAATTTATTAATTTAGTTTGTCTCTCAGATGTTTCCTGCTATCAAAGTCAATAATATTATGCGTCGAAAAGAATAAGTCTATATAGTTAACGAGAACTGAGGAAAAATTATTGAAGATTGAGAAATTTCTACTAGAATGAAATTTATGATAAGGAGACAACACATGTTGAATAGCTATTGAGAGGCCAACTAAAATAATAAATTAGAAATATATAACAGAAAAATAATAAATTAGAATTAAATTACAATGATATTATGCCTAGAAAAACTCGAGTCGTTAGACAGTCTCAGTTCAAAAATAAAAATTCATAAAGATTTTAAAATTTCTGTTGCGATAAAAGTTAACGACAAGATATAGATTACAGCATATAGTGAGAAGCAATTGAGAGATAGACTAAAATAATAAATCTGAACTACATGACGACGATATTATGTATTGAAAAGCGCAAGTCGATATAATTAGCAAAAACTTAGGGAAAAATTATTAACTATTAGGTACGAATCTGCATTTGAAGTGACCAATGACTAGCGATAAGAGACCATAACAAGCGACAATAAAATAACTCTTGTTTAATACAAACCACCATCCTTTTATATGACCAATACATAATTAACATCATGAAATCGAGGGATCTGATTTCTGCCCAGCTTCTGATAACATTTATGATTAAATGGTAGTTATCAGGTCATCAAGTATTAAGCCAGCGGCACACGGTGTTTGTTTTCGTGCTGGATTGCTTGCTAGATGAAAATACTGCGTTCTGATTGGTGCATTTCCATCCATCTTCGGAAATGTACCAATCACAACGCAATATTTTCATCCAGCAAGCAATCCAGCACGAAAACAAGCACCGTGTGCCGCTGGCTTTAGTCTATGATTTATACTTTTTACCTATTTATTAATATTTAATAATATAAAGTAACATTATCAGTCTTATTACTTTATCCTCCGGCTGATAGATATATAAAATAGTGAAAAGATTCATATTTTAAACAGAAAACTGAGAGACCTGAAAACTACCTGACTACGAACATATTAAATTACGAAAAGATACTTCTCAGGTTAGAAGAAATTGAACTATTTTTATGAAATTATATTTTAGCAAGACCTAAATAAGCCATCTCATTATTTATATTCAACATATCTAATAGAAATATCTATTAATAACAATGTAATTAAAGGAAAAGTTTAAAAAATATATTGGTCCTTAAAACTACCCTTCGATATATTAAACCTTATATTTCGAAAAATAACCAATATTTTTTAAATCAGCAAGCGGTTTCTACTTAGATTAGAGCTGAATTCAATATCTATATAATAAAATTGGATAATTATTTTCGGTCCTGAAAACTGCCCTTTCATATATGTATATATATATATATATATATATATATATATATATATATATATATTAGAGATGTGCGAATCAAGAATTTTTATGTCGAATTGAATCAAATCTCATTTTTTAAATTCGAATTCGAATCGAATCGAATCTATGAAATTTCACTCGAATTCGAATTGAATCGAATGAAATCGAATCGAGTCATTAAAAAATTTAACATGACTGTTAAACATGCAAATAATAATGGAAGATTTTAATATGAAAGGGAATATTGATATTGTAATATAATCTTAAAGTAAAATATATATTTAAATATTTAAAATAATTTATAATTAAATTATTAATTATAAGTTAAGTTAATTACAAGTTAAGGGTTCAGACATATAGGCCCAGATGGCCCGTTTTGTAGCTGATGCATACAAACAATAATATGTTTTATTCCTATTCGAATTATTCGGATTCGAATTATAGGAATTCGGATTCGAATCGAATCGAATTACACTAGATTCGATTCGAATTCGAATAGTTCTCACACGCACACGCACACGCATACGCACACGCACACGCACACACACACTTATACGCACACGCTTACGCACACGCACATCGCTAATATATATATAACTTTATTTTGTATTTAAAATTGTATTTCAATCCCATTTTAATTCTTATAATCCGGACGATTTTTGAACGATTTTTACAGTCTTTGAGTTAGAATTTTTCGTATATGAAGATAGTTCGAAAAATTCTCGGTTTGATAAAAAACGTATGATTTTTGACAATGTTCTTTTTTATTTTTCAACATAGTCTCTTTTCAACTTAATACGTTTAGACCAACAATATTCTAACTTTCTTATACCTTCAGTATAATACAATTTCTTTAAGCCTTCAAAATAAGCATTCACATCAGCGATGATTTTCCTATTTAAAATGAATTTCTTTCTAGTGAGCTATTTTTTCATGTTTGGGAACAGGAGAAAGTCACTAGGGACTAAATCTGGTGAGTACGGTGCGTGTGGTAACAATTCGAAGCGCAATTCATGGAATTTTGTAATTGAAGAAATGTGAGCGATTATTGTCATGATGGAAAAGTATTCTTTTTGCCACATGAGGACATTTGGTCTTAATATCATCGTTCCAGCAATGCTACATAATATTCTCCGTTGATTATTTTGCTTTTTTCTAGTCTAGAATAGTCTAGTCTAGTAAGTCTATAAGCACTACATCCTGTGAATCCCAAAAAACGTCAAAAAACATCACCTTTTCGGCTGATGGAACTGTTTTTGCCTTTTTGGAGCGCATTCACCCGTTTCCACCCATTGTTTCAATTATTGTTTCATCTCTGGTGTATCAATGAATCCATGTTTCATCAACAGTGATGAATCGTCGCAGAACTCGGTTTGCGTTTAAACATATTCAAGCATTTCTGAGAAATGTTCATTCGAATGCGTTTTTGATCGACCATTAACAAACGCGGCACTCATTGCGCTGAAAATTTTTTCATATGCAAATATTCGTATAAAATGTTATGAACATGATCTATTATTATACTAGCAGTCTGAAACTTTTTAACGCATGCGTTATAAGTATAACGCATGCGTTATATGGCTCGTAACGCATGTTTTACGATTTCGTATTCTGTAAATGCATCTTAACGTATGGCGTCGTCAATTTGCGTACATTAACGTTAAGTTTGCGTTATATTATTTTTCACTATAAATCCGTATTCTGTAAACCACTTTAACGCAATTTGCAACGCATTTTATTGCGTTACGTAAAGTAATGCTAACGCTGGCTGCCGGAGAACGTTAATGTCATAACGCGATCTTGCAAGGTTAAGTTAATATTAATATTTTTTATTGTGAATAAAATGGCTGGTGGAATACTCATCAATGTGCTAAATGATGTGGAAAAGGAAGAAAAGAGGGAAAATTCTCTAATAATGAAAGAGTTGAGAGATAGTATTAATCCATTTAATTTAACGGATGAACAATTTATAAGAGTTTTCCGCTTATCAAAAGAAGCAGTAATTTATATATGTGACTCACTTCAAAATATTTTGCAATGGAAAGGAAGGAGAGGATTAAGAAACACAGGTAATTATGTAAATTCTAATATAACTTTAAAATACATAATAGACATGCGGACATTACAGTTTTCCGCTATATTTAGATATAGTTCGGAACGCAATTGATGGTTCAACGAGAGAACTTATTTGCTGAAAAGTTTTCAAAACAAGTTCTCTTATTAGACTATCAACTGCGTTCCGAACTATATTGAAAACATAACGAACAACTTTATTGATATCCATGACTGTAAACTGATTTTGTTCAAATTTGTATAATAAAAAACTATGTGTTACTAACTACTTATAGGTTTTAGCTGCACTGCGTTTTTTTCCTATAGGTTCGTATCAAAAAGATATTGGTAATGATTATCTAATATCTATATCACAACCAGCAACTAGCAGAGCAATAAAAGCAGTAGCGATGGGATTGCAGTATCACGCAATTGCTTGCCATTGAGTGAAGCAAATTCCCAAACACAGAGGAAAAACGAGCAGCTTTAAAAGAAAAGTAACATCCTTTTACAATTATAAAAGGCCGTTAAAAATTTACTCTGACTGTAAACAATTTATATTTTTCTTAAGAAAACAATATAATAATATCAGGAAATTGAAGTAATTTATATATGATTGCACTTAACTGTTGTGATTTTTTTTACAAATCTTTCTTTAAATAATATTAAATAAATTTGTCTATTCACTGAATTATAATTTTTTTCATAATTTTCTTATAATATTGTTTTGTACAATATATTTTTACAGATTTCAAAAGGAAAGGAATTTTAAAGGAATAATAGGTTGCATAGATTGCACTCATGTGAGACCAAAACATCACGAGGAATCATATATAAACCTTAAAAGGTTTCCATTCAATTAATATACAGGCAGTAAGTATATTCACTACAAAAATATATAATATATAATGTACTATACAAATTCAAAAAGAAACTTAATGCATACTTGTATTATTTATAATAAGATAGCGTCACACGATTTGGAAATCTTAAATGTCAATGCTAGATTACCTGGAAGTGTCCATGACAGCTTTATATGGAGACATTCTACCATAAGGGACGAAATGCAACGATTATATAATTCTGGAGATCGAACAACATGGTTTTTGGGTAAGTATCACGATTATTTTATATTTATTTACCTAATAATGTACATAAAAATGTCGATTTGATTATAGGCGATGCAGGTTACGGTTTGGAACCTTGGCTGATGACACCTATCACAGATGCACCAGAGCTACAAGATGCATAACGTTATACTAACATTATAAAAAAATAACATTTTAATAATAAAGAAAACAATGTGAGGAAATAATACTTTAATTATGATAGAAATATATAATAAAACTTACTTTTCTCCAACCTTCTGTACCTTTTGATGGGCCGTCGAAGCTATTTAACTGTTCAATTAATTGCTGCCATTGTACGTCGTAAACTGGCTTTCCTCTTGCTCCTAATAATTTGTCTGTGGCAAACGCAGTATGGTTTTCCATATATGTAATAAGGAAATCTAATTGCTTGTTTGTTGTTTTAGGGGCTTTTTTCTTTTTCTGTGCAACTTCCATACTGTAAGAACATATTGTTCATTAGTTAAATCAGGTTATGTATCTATTCTTTTCGTACATTGCGTAAAAACAAATTAATTATTCACTACAATTTATTTATTACAAATGTGTGCACATAGCCTAATATATGTTATATACAGGGTGCACGATTTATCTGAAGACATTGAAATATCTCGAGAACTATGCATTGGATAAAAAAAAGTGGTTAATGAAAGTTGTTAGCCTCGAAGGGGGACATCCAATGATACCAAACTCGACCTCCCATCCCACCCCCTGGGGGTGGGGGTTGGGGGTAACTTTGAAATCTTAAATGGAAACCCCCACTTTTTATTGCAGATACGAATTCTACGCCACAAAATACGTAAATTTTGTTCGAAACTTTTATTTTGATTCGTGATAGATGGCGCTGTAATAGCAAAAAATTATATTTTCCGCAATTCTCCAGAAAAGATCATTGGATTGAGAAATAAAAAATACCTGTTGAATATTTTTAAAGAACATAATAAAAGTTATTCCCCCCCATCCTCTCGGGGTAGAGTGGGTGATAACGTTCGAATCTCAAATGAGGACCCACATTTTTCATTGCAGAATTAGATTGTACGTGAAATTTTTATTGAAACAATTTTTTTATTATGTTCTTTAAAAATATTCAACAGGTATTTTTTATTTCTCAATTCAATGATCATTTCTGGAGAATTGCAGAAAATATAATTTTTTGCGATTACAGCGCCATCTATCACGAATCAAAAAAAAAGTTTCGGACAAAATTTACGTATTTTGTGGTGTAGAATCCGTATCTGCAATAAAAAATGGGGGTTTCCATTTAAGATTTCAAAGTTGCCCCCAACCCCCATCCCCAGGGGGTGGGCTGGGATTGCCCCCAACCCCCACCCCCAGGGGGTGGGGTGGGAGGTCGAGTTTGGTATCATTGGATGTCCCCCTTCGAGACTAACAACTTTCATTAACCACTTTTTTTATCCAATGCATAGTTCTCGAGATATTTCAATGTCTTCAGATAAATCGTGCACCCTCTATATTCAATATACTCCATTTTTTTAGTGCACTTAACGAATATTTCGATGATAGTCATGACGATGGCAAATAATTTTCTCGGTTGACGATTGCTCTACTTGGGTGACAAAATTGTCGTAGCTCAATTCATTTAATTTGATCATTATGCGCATCGCGTGCGCGTGAGAGAGAGAAAAAGAGAGAGAGAGAGAGAGAGAGAGAGAGAGAGAGAGAGAGAGAGAATATGCGCCACATCTCGATTAATTAGCGTTCAATCATAATTACCGGCCATTGCAACCATGCCACCAACGAACCAGCAACGATACGATTTCGTTCGGTCGTCGATGATCGGCGCATTGTTATACCATTTATCAAAATCGCGATAATACTGATCAGATCAACGCCGACCAGATGATCGAGCAATTACCAACAGACCTGCATTAATCGAAAGCTTCTCGCTGATTAATCTAAATGCGAATTAAATTCAGTCGTGGGGCTAGTAAGTTACCGACTTTCAGAATTTATTTCATTACGTCCTTCTTATGCTGAAACTCATTGAAAAGAGATCCTTTCTAACCGTTCCATTGTTCAATCCTGGATCTACTCTGTTGCAATTTCAAACATAAAACGTTAATTATTAAAATATATTTCATATATTATATAGTTAACACGCGTGTGTGCGTTTCGTACCGGTGAGCTATGGCTTTTCGTTTAGACTATTTGATGTTTTCGTTCTAAAACAATGCATAATCATGAAATACTTTTATAATTATTATGAGATACATATTATTTAACAAATAAAATTTGTCTAATAAAACTAAGGTTACAAGTACTTTACGCGGCGGCGTGAACAAGTTACGTAATAGAATCAGGGACGGGTATATCAATATCTGAATAGAATTAAAACTTTGTTAGCTCAAAATCGTCTTTATGTAATTGGATATCTCTGAAATATTTAATATTAATTGCTAGTATTTCTCTTACTAGGTGCGTAACTAAGTTCCCGGGTTTCACACATGGATGGCGCTAACGACACATGTAATCGACATACATGTCTGAAGTTGTGTTTTTTTTACAGCTTGGACATTTGTTAACAATAACCAGTCGTAATACTAACACATATCGCAACGCAAAAATATTTTTCTAACAACGAAGATGTCGAGTTTTGTGCCAAATAAACAGCATTTGCGGGAAGCTTTGCTTTTCCGCTTTAACTTGAAAAAAAGTGCAGCTGAAGCACATCGTTTACTTGAGGAGGCCTACGGCGAACATGCACCATCGAAAACAACCTGTGAAGATTGGTTTAAACGCTTCAGAAGTGGCGATTTCGACACTGAGGACAAGGAGCGCTCCGGAAAACCAAAAACGATTGAAGACGCCGATCTGCAAGCGTTATTGGATGAAGATGATACGCATACGCAAGATCAACTTGCGGAGGCATTAAACATGACTCGCCAAGGTATTTCCAAACGTTTACATGCCACGAGACAAATTCAAAAGGAAGAAAAATGGGTGCCGCATGAGTTGACTGAGAGACAAATGGAAAATCGAAGAGCCACTCCCGAAATTTTGCTTTTGCAGCATGAAAGAAAGAGTTTCCTGCATCGAATTATTATTGGCGATGAGAAGTGAATATATTTCGAGAATCTCAAACGCAAAATATCATGGCTTTCACCTGGCGAAGCATCAACATTGACGGCACAGCCAAATCGCTTCGGAAAGGAGACAATGCTCTGCGTTTGGTGGGACCAGAAAGGAATCATGTACTATGAGCTGTTGAAACGGGGCGAAACTGTCAATGGGCATCGCTACCGACAACAACTGATCTATCATATTTGAACCATGCATTGCTCGAAAAACGCCCAGAATGGGACACGAGACACGAACGAGTGATATTGCAGCACGACAACGCTCCGTGCCATCGCACTTCCATCGTCCAGAACACCATCAAAACGCTGAAATGGGACCTGCTACCGCACCCGCCGTATTCGCTAGATCTGGCCTCTTTCGATTATCACTTTTTCCGGTCGAAGACGCATGGCTTGGCTGAGCAACACTTGGCCAATTTCGAAGAAGTGCAAAATTAGTTGGATGAATGATTTCGGTCCAAAGACGCGTCGTTTTATCGTCGCGGTATTCATGTACAGGTTGCGTGAAAAGTTCGCGGAGTGAAACTGAAATAAAGAATACCAAATTCTAAAAATGATTTTATTCTTCAATATAGTCTCCATTAACTTCAATACACTTGGCCCAATGGCTCTTCAATAATTTTATCCCATCGCGGAAGTGTGTTTCTAGAAGGTCTGCGAAATATGCCTCTACGGCTGCTATAGCTTCTTCATTCGACAAAAAATACTTTCCACGGAGGAATTGTTTCAGGTTTCGGAACAGATAGAAGTCGCTGGGTGCAAAATCTAGCGAATACGGTGGATGATCAAGCAATTTGTACTTCAATTCATTGAATTTAGACATTGACAAAACACTTTTGTGAGCAGGTGCGTTGTCTTGGTGAAAAATGATTTGTTTGTGCTGCAAATCAGGTCATTTCTCACGAATTTTTGCGTCCAATTGATCCAAAAGGTTACAACAATATTCAGAGTTAATTGTTTTACCTTTTTCCAGATAGTCAATTAACAAAATCCCTTTAGCATTCCAAAAAACTGATGCCAAAACCTTTTTTGCCGATCTTTCATGCTTTGTTTGCTTTGGAGCTGAACATCCACCTTCAGTCCACTGTAAACGTTCCTGTTTCAATTTAGGATCATAGTGATAGATCCAAGTCTCATCCATAATTATAAAACGACGCACAAAGTCGGTTTTATTCTTCTTAAAACGATCCAAATGACGCTTTCGAGAAATTTGCTTTCGAGCGAGTTTTTGTTGAATTGTTAACGTATGCGGCACCACTTTTCCAAACACCTTTTTCATTTGTAATTCTTTATGCAAAATATCCGTTCATCTGAAATGCCTATGATATGAACAATTTCACGCGTAGTCACACTTGGATCTTCAGAAACAATAACATGTATTTGCTCAATGATTTCTGGTGTTGATGCGCTTTTTGAACGTCCACTGCGTAGATCATCTTCAATGTTTGTACGACCACGTTGAAACTCAAGTGCCCATTTACAAACCATTCTTTTTGAAGGAGCAGATTCCCTTAACACATCTACCATCTCGGAATGAATTTCCATTGCCTTTAAACCTTTTTTAACAAAGAACTCAATCACTGCACGCTGTTTCAAATTTTCCATTGCGAACAAATATACTGACACATCAACTTCAATTGGCTTGTAAATACAGAAAGAATTGACAGATGGAAATGAAACCTAACCTAGGTTCATGTGAAGAGTGATTCTATATAACCGACTACAATTTATAATTCTACCGTTTACTTATAGATGCCGCTTCGCGAACTTTTCACGCAACCTGTATTATGAAACTGTTCTTTTTTCATGTTATTATACACGTATATCTGTACATATAAATGCAGTGGCGTAAATAGAGAATGTTAGAATACACGGGCCTCGGGGTCTCCAAGAGTACGGGGGCCTCTATAATATTGCAAAAAACCCGAGGTATGGGGAGGCTTCGGCCATCCGGCAACACGGGCCTCCACATTTTATTTATGCCATTGTATAAATGTGCTAAAGTTTAGAAAGTCCA